ATAGGCCACAGTGACACCTTTTTTGTACTCAATGCACTACCGTCATCCCAAGATGTCTTTCAACAAATAGTACAGAAGATATGCCCGGACAAACTTTTTAAAATTTAAGGCCAAAGGTCACAGTGACCTAATTCTTGCACTCCGCCATTAAAACATGTCTTTCAACACCAAATCTAGTGACTCCAGGCGAAATAGTATAGGAGATATGCCCGGAAAACTTCTTGGTTTGTTTGTTTGTTTGTTTGATTTTGTTTAACGTCCTATTAACAGCTAAGGTCATTTAAGGACGGCCTCCCCTGTGTGCAAGATGCATGCGTGTAGTGTTAGTGTGTGTATTTTGGGAGGCTGCGATATGTTCGTGTTTGTCTCCTTGTGATAGCGCGGAACTGATGCCGACTTCATAGGAAAACTTCTTGGACGGAAGGGACAGAAAAACGGACGCATGGACGGAGTGCAAATATATAGCCCCCCCCCCCCCCCCGGGGAACCGGTGGAGGGACTAACAAATCGACACATGTAAAATTATAATACATATGGTCACGGTCCCGTATACAGGTAAACATAGACAGTTTGTACATGTACTTGGACCGTAGTTTTCCTCACCCGGGGCACTTATGTAACTCGTCAAGGTGTGAATATCCAGGTAAAGGGTAGACAAATAATTAACGTCCAGTGGTGTTTTCATGACGGTCATACGGTATCATATATCGGCTCTCAATGTCAGGCACATACCGCTAGCAAAACCCAATTTTGACAGTCTAACATTCACTGTAATACTGTGTAAATGTAACAAGCATTGTAAACTTGAACATAATCTTAATCAATATAATGAGAAATTTAGGTATACAGTGTTCCTTATTCCATACGAGCCGTCCGTAATAATAATCAACCAATTGTACCAAATCGCTCAGAGAGAAGCGCACAACTGTTAAATCATACAGTTGTGCGCACCATGTTTGGACGGTGTGCGCGCTATGTTTTGGTGTGTTGTGCGGTCACACAACTGTTATATGTTTTGGCAATCAATTTGAAATCCAATATTTTGATTTATTCATGAATTGTAATGCATATTTTTAGCGGGTGTAACGTCCTGGAAACAGCTAAGGTCAAGTAAGTGCGTGCCTCCATGTGGTGTGTTTATTTGCTGGAGGCGGTATGATGGTATAACTGCCTCCATGCGATAGCGCCGTTGTTATACCGACTTAACAATTCTAAATATATCTTAGGGTTGTATAGGCAATCTACAATTACATACATGAAAACAAGACTATAATTAAACGTGCACACAAAGGAATACACCAATCTTCAATTAAGGTTTAACATGCTTAAGAGATATATACGTTTACTTTGGTTATATTTTGTTTTGTTTAACGTCCTATTTAAGGTGGCTCCACACATCGTCATCAGCGTCCATTTTCGTGACGTACTTCCGGAAAAAGTACAGCTCGGACTCAATTATCTTGATCGAAATGTGCATGTACACCGTGTCGTCATTTCCGTATTGCGTATCGGGCATTCAATATCGGAGTGCAAATTATAGTAACACTGGGCCGTTTTCGTCAAACCGATCGGACCACTGTTGTTCATTTATTAAATAGGGTCGGACCTAGTAATCTGATTCTGCTTTCAGGCGAGCCTTGAGAAAGCCTTGCAAGGCCTGCATAAACATTTGTAGGTCCGCCAGGATTTATACCCGAAATTGTTACATCTATAAACGGTTAAACCGGTTGGTTGTTCCACATAAACGAACAGGCCCCTGGTAAACAATAGTATACGTGCGTGCCGATTATATGTCAACACCCGATATCGAGATCTTACCGGGAAATGTATAATCACACGTACTTTAGGAATAAAGCTTTCCAATTCATAGACATAAACAGACTCACGGGAAGACAGTGACATGAGACCAAACGACCTCAAAAAGGCCATATAGGAAACGCATGGAATGCGGACGTACCGACCTCACATGTGCATATCACGTGCTTACACGAGTTCATAATCTCGAGGTCGTTATGTTACTGACATGTTATTATAAATATACCGTGAGTTAGCGGACTGTGGAATAGTGTCCAAAGTGTATGCATGAGTGAGGGTAATTTGGTTCCATTAAAGAACAATAAATTGATAATTTTGATATCATATTTTTGATTTATTTCCATCATTTTTGTTATATGTAAACAGAGTCATTTGTTTGTTTGTTTGATTTTGTTTAACGTCCTATTAACAGCTAAGGTCATTTAAGGACGGCTGTCATAGTGTAAATGTCGACCCTCTGCAAAAAGTTCCGATTTTTTTCAAGGAAGATAACTCTCACCCGGATCGAAGTGAATGTAAAATGTAAAATAAATTAATTATAAAGCCATTTTGTATATTTTGTTCAATTTCTAATTCTATATGTATAGATCTTTGTGTCCTGTTTGCTTTTAGCTTGTAGATAATCACTTTTATCCGTACAAATTCAATAAAAAACACTTTGTGTAACATGTGTTACCTATTTTGCGATAAATAAAATATTTGTAGGATTAATTAGAAATGCTACTTTTCATTGGTATTTTTTCCAAAAAAGTCCCCAAACTATCGGAATGTTTAGATTTTCATAAAATCAACTCTACATAGTTGCATAACCATTATATGAAAGTTTCAACGAATTTTGCTGGTTAATTGTGAAAGTGTGGAGCCACCTTAACAGCTAAGGTCATTTAAGGACATGTCCCGATGCGTGCATATGTGTATGTGTGCTGTAGGCAAGGTTTGTTGTTTTATTTGCCTCCTTGTAATGGCGTGGATCTAATGCTGACTTTGTATTGTTATTTCACCGAAATAACATACCGAAGGCACGCAGCACTGCATTCCGACCAGTCACAATATATATAACGGTGTTCTGTCTAACATATTGTTTATAGTTGTTACATTTTGAGTTAGCTGACGTAAATCATGTGCATAATTAGGTTTTCGTGGTCTTTTAGTGGAATAATCCAGTCAATGTTAAATAAAGCAATTAGCAAAGAAATGATAACTTATTTCAAATAAATCAATAATACAAACTGTGTAAAAGAAGCTAACTAAGAGTTTCCTAAAATTATTGTGGAGTTCTCATAAATGACATTGGACAACTTTTCAACAATTAAAGACTTAAGGACTTCCCACCCTTCGTAATACATATGTTTTTCGTGTCGTCATTTCCGTATTGCGTATCGGGCATTCCATTACCGTAGTGTAAATTGTAGTAACACCGTGTTAACACTAGTACATGTGCGTGACGATGATATGTCAAGACCCGATATCGAGACTTAACTTGGAAATAAGGCGTTTGATATAAAGACATACATTAACTCACGGGAAGATAATGACATACGATCAGACGACTTCAGGAAGGCCGTTTAAGAGACGCATCTGCAGACTGATCTGTTTTGTTTACACACCTGTACATTTCACGTGCTAACACTGGTTCACAAGCTCGGGGTCGCTACTACTTTTGTTGTCGAACGAGTTACGATCGGTCACGTAAATCATTCCACAAATGCTATAACAATAACTCTGAAAATAGTGTTTTATAAAATATCAAGATCCCTATAAAATGCCACCATGCGATAACCTATGGTTATATATGTACCTGACATGTAAATATTCAAGGCGTAAGCGGGCTATGGAATGATGTCCAAATTGTATGCGATTGAGAGTAATTTTGATAAATAAAAGAACAGTAAATTGACAGTTTTAATATCATAATATTATTTGTTTCCGTCGTTTTTTGTAAAGTGAAGAAAATAAGTGTCATTGTATAAATGTTATCCCTCTACAAAAAGTTCAGATTTTTGTTTAAGGTAGACAACTCTCATCAGGATCAAAATGATTGTAAAATGGAAAATAAATGAATAATTAAGGCTTTGTGTATATTTGGTTCAATTTATCACTCTTTTTGTATTTAACTGTGTGTCGTGTGTGTCCTGTTTGCTTTTAGCTTGTATATAACTACTTTTATCCATACAATTTCAATAAAAAACACTTCGTGTAACGTGTTTAAGATATTTTATGATAAATAAAATATTTGTAGGGTTGATTAGCAATGTTTCCTTTCATTATGTTATTGTTGTGATAGTTTTGAACAATGTCACACACTCATTTTTGTGATAAATATGACAAAAATTCAATTTTTCGGTATTTTTTATAAAAAATCCGCAGTTCATCGGAATGCTTAGATTGTCATAAAATCATCTCTACATAATGACATAACCATTATGTGAAACCTTCATTGAATTCTGCTGGTTAATTGCAAAAGGGTGGAGCCTACTTAATGACAAAATAGACTAACGTCAATGTCAAAGTCTATTTCTGAAAGCTTCCATGCAAAACTGTGCGTCTCCATCGACAAAAGCTGTAATACCTCGCCCTACAATACTTGTGTTAAATGTTTTGCAACTCTGTGTTAACGACCATTATAGGACTTCTAATTTGTTAATATGATTTAATATTGACTGTTGAGATGATGGAACATCCCCTTAACGGTCGTTGTATAATGAATGATGATATCAGTTCGTGGTGAAAATGAGTTTTCGTTGATCTGTCTGTTTACATTTCAGGTGCGTTCGGTACTTGTCTTTCTATTCTTAATACAGTCGTTTCGCCAGGAAGAGATTAAAAGCAAACGCATTGTGTAGCAAATAACTGCTTAATTCTGACAAGCTTACATGACACTACTCACCGTTATTACGAAGAAAACCATTTGGAATCGGCATTTAAATCTTGTCTCCTCAGAAGGTTAACGTTTCGGCAGAACAATGCCCATCCGAGCTAACAAATCTGCACTGTTTTATACATTACTAACATGTTTGATATGCAACGTACTTGGAAGTTTGACGCCACATGCAGTAAAATTAGCAGATTTGTTTAAAAATTACTCATCGGTTTTCAAGCCAAGAAAGGATTTATCAGAAAGTGTGTTAGTGAATACTACATTTCATTTGAATATTATCAGTGAAATCAACGAAAGGCTCCAGACCATGCGCTTTATAGCCTGGTTAGATATAAGCTGGGTAGATGAGTTCCTTATATTAAGTGATGACGTGGAAAGTTTGTTGATTCTTAAAGAAGATATCTGGTATCCGGACATAAGTGTTTATGATGCAGTTGACGATCCCCAGACAATCAGTGATGGCAAACATGTCATTCTGTTCCAAAACGGTCATGTGTCGTGGTACCAGGGCGGTGAGTACATAATCAGATGCGTGATCGATATCCGCCGGTACCCCTTTGATGCCCAAACGTGCAATTTACGTGTGGGCGCGTGGCACACTACGGCATGGACTCAACGGCTGATAGACTCGGGGAAGGGATTAGATATATCAGGCTATACAGAGAATGGGGAGTGGGAAATCACCAACACAATGGTGGAATCAAACAACAGTCCTGGTTTTAATACTTCCTGGATACGGTATCACATTTATCTTAAACGGCGCCCTCTACATCCGGTTCTGAATACGCTTATTCCCATTGTTATGCTCTCCTTCCTAAACACACTAGTGTTCCTACTTCCAGCTAATTCAGGTGAAAAGATGACACTGTGCATTTCTGTTCTCTTGGCCTTTACAGTGTTTCTTACCGTGTTCAATGATACAATGCCGAAAATGTCGACCACCATCTCCTATCTGTCGATCTACCTTGTCGTCCAGTTAGGGATGAGTGTAGTTGGAATAGTAATGTCTATATGCATTTGGAGAACGAAAGACAGAGAAAATTATTCAACCTTTGATTTTCTTGAACACACCGCACACAGGAAAGACCAGGAAGGAATAACTGGGACAATGAATGCAAACAGTGAATCTGTCAAAGGTCATCGGCTATCGTTTCGTCTACCTAAAAACATGGATGGCATCGAAAGCATTCCAAAATGTGAATGTCCCGAGATGGACGGCTTTCGGGGAGACGAAACAGACTACCACATGTCATACAGTAACTATAGCAATGAGTTTGCAAGGCAAATGTCCTCAAAAAACATACGTTGTAGAAGGGAGGTGTTTTCGTCATCAAAGAGGTATTCAATTGGCGAAAAACAGAAAGATGAAAAAAGACGCCAGAACATAGAACAATTGGATCTGATTCTGTTCAAGATAACGTTTGCCTTGGTATTGGGATCTACAATAATTCTACTTATTACATTGTTAGTGTGAATCTTTTATTTGTTATTCAATGTTTTTAGGGAGGCATGGTTGTCTTGTGGTAGGATGCCGGGCTCGTGACCGAAGGGTTACGGGTTCGAGTCACGTCACGGCACGATACTGTGTTGTATCTTTTAGCAATATATTTTACTCCACTTATTCTCGTCTATGTGGTTGGGCAGAATAGTAGAATACTAGCTTTGAGCGCCGAAATGACAGCATCGGCTGTATATAAAACTAAAAAGCTTTTAATGAGAAATGTTTTAAGATATTTTGTCAATAACAGTTCACCTGATGGATGTATTAGCTCGTATGATGATTTTTCTTTGTATCTTTTATTTATTGTTTTTTCATTAAGACATTGTACATTTATGGCAGATTGAATTACTCTGTCAATATAATATATATATGATCATTGTATATCAATATTCTGTTAAATAAAGAGTCTGTGTAATGTGATAGCGTGAGATTCCTTAATGTTTGTGATTGGTTTGGTTTAGTATTGTTTAATGTCAAATCAACAGCTATTGTCATTTAAGCACGGAAAATGTTTGTGAACATATTTATGTATTGATTTTGATTGGACAAGCCTAACATGGAAATGTTTGCTTTTTACCTCACTCTCACTTCTATTCACTTCCACACCTGGCGATCTGAGGTGTAATTCTGCAGTGCCTTTGGCTGCATTTGTTAATGTCTTACTGCTAATAATGGACCATAATACTGTAAGAAGTGTTTCTAGGTTGTATTTCGTCATTCATGTGTTTCGAAGAATAAAATGCCTGCGTACCTCCATTTTATCAATCTTACTCGTTAAAGGATTTCAAATAGGCTACTATTAAGTTTAAGAATTGTTTTAGTTGGGTTTGACCAAAAAATAAACATATAATTTAACTAAGATATTACTTATGATTTTATTACGTGTATTATACCAATAGGTGTCAGTTTTCTTCTTTTCCAATTAATCAAAATAGAGTTGAGCTTAACTAGATTTTTGTCAAAATTTACCCGAGTATTCGATGCAAGTCCAAATGAAATTTTATTCAAAGAAGCATGAACAACATTCCTCTCCCCCAAAAAGGATACATATTTCTGGTAAAGGAAACCTATCTATAAAATTGGTATTTTGTTTATATTCATTTCAGTCTAAATATTCTATAAACAGTGTTTAAGTCTTTTATAATTCCTTAATCGACACCCCCCCATGTCATCTAGTTTGAGGTCAACTATCACCAGCGTACTGTGCAACTATAATTTGGTAATCATCAGCATCTATACATTTAATTAACACAAATAATACATATGGTGCTATTGGGTCACCTTGGCGACAACCTCTATTAATATCAAAGAATGATGAAAGATTCTCTTGATTTATAGCCGGGATAGTATAATTATGCAGACGATCAACTCAATTTCCTGTATTTGAAAGAAAACTTTAAGCACCTTATCCATTAATTTCCATAAGACAGAATCAAACACTTTTTTCGACATCCAATAAAAGCAGCACCTTAGGTACATTATTTTCTTCTCAATATTTCATTGTATCATAAATGAGTCTAGTATTGTTCTCCTTTGCGACCAACATGCAAAACCTTTTTAAACAGGAATAAGGTGGTCAAACCTATTGAAGATGCAAAGGCAAGATCCAAAACACACTTACGTTTTTGTACAGTTGTATAGATGCTGTTTCCCGAGTGTCTTTGTAGCGGCTCATCTAGCAATCATTTTGCCTTTTTGCTAGAATCAATGAACCGCCCCGATTGAATCCTTGGCGATTATTATCATGGTTTCCGACTCCGCATTGCTTTTCCTGATGAAAAAAGTTTGTGTAACTCTGAGTGAGATATGAGTCTCGGCCTCATTTGGGGGATTTTGTTTTGTTTTGTTTTATTTTGTCTAACGTCCTATTAACAGCTTAGGTAATTTAAGGACGTGCCTCCGTGAATGTTGTGGATGCGTGCATGTGTGTATGTGTGCATGCGTGCTGGAGACGGTATGTTGATCTGGATGATTGGAAAATAGAAATATGGAAACATGCAAAGTTATGCCATATCATAGGCCACATACACGCATGTATGCTTACACAACACACATGGAGGCACGTCCTTAAATTACCTTAGCTGTTAAGGACGTTCTACAAAATAAAACAAGACGCCCAAAGGCCTTAGCGGTCACCTGAGTTATATTATAGGTACTTGTAGCTTTATTTTATTGTTTAGATGTGATGTGGAAATCAGCATGTAAACTAAGTGAAATACAATACTTGTCATGTCATCAAACGAAAATATTGGTAAATGTTCCCTTTGGGGCTCCCAGGGGATGGGGCAGGAATCCCAATTTTATGCTGAAAATGGATAAAATATACCCAAAAGTGTTATTTGCCTATATAAACTATAGTAAACTTTACCCCCTCCCCAAGGGAGAACGGATAGCTCGGGGGTCCTGATTTACGATTTAAATAAAGACCCTGATGATTTTCTTTCCATGCAGAGAAAATGACTGTAGTACCTCGAGTCTGGAGGAGATTGTTTTTGAAATATTGGTTAATTTTCCCTTTGGGGCCCCGCCCTGGCCCCAAGGGTTGGGGTAGGAATTTCAATTTTGCAATTTGAAACCATCTTCCTCCAAGGATAATTTTCACCAAGTAAAAATAATTTCCTACAGAAAGTTGTTATTTCCCTATATAAACTATAGTACACTTTACCCCCTCCCCAAGGGAGAACGAATAGCTGGGGTTCCTGAAGTTTACAATTAAAGTAAAGCCCCTGATGATGTTTCTTTCCATGCAGAGAAATGACTGGAGTACCTCTGAGTCTGGAGAAGAACATTTTTGAAATATTGGTTGATTTTCCCTTTGGGGCCCCATCCTGGCCCCAGGGGTTGGGGTAGCGATTTCCAATTTTTACAATTTTTTAGCCTCATCTACCAAGCATGATTCTGACAAAGTTTGAAAAAAATCCATCCACTGGTTCTTGAGAAGTTCAAAATGTAAAAAGTTTACACGCGACGGACGGAAAGTGATTAGAATAGGTCACTTGAGCAAAGCTAATTAACTCATTGGAACGTCTTTGTTAGGTCGGTATGCTGCATATCTCTTTCCATTTCTCCAATATCAAACAACGTTTGGTTTGTTTAAGTATTGTTTAACTTCCTGTCAACAGCTATGGTCATTTAAGTACGGCCTCCCGGGACTGTATGCAAGATGCATGCGTGTAGTGTATGTGTGTATATTTTGGGAGGCTGCGATATGGTCGTGTTTGTCTCCTTGTGATAGCGTGGAACTCAGCCGACTTTATAGGGCTAACTTACTGACACATACTGCCGAAGACACCCAGCAGGACGCCCTGTGCATTTCCAGGTATAGTTACCCTACCTGTACCTGTCCAGTATGTTTACAATATGCATTCATGCATGAATGACCATAGCTCATGCTGCAAGCTCTGACACAAAAAAGGCGAACTACTATTAACAAGTATTCTTTGGGTATTGATTCACCGGCCCCCCAAACTTTAACCTTCAAATTTTGGCCAAGATAGTTAAGTCCAAAATAAAAAAAAAGAATAATTTATTCACTTTCACTAAACAACATTAATGCTAGACACCTAACGAACCTCTGTCCATAAAATCAGCATCCTATCAATATTATAGAGTGAGCGGTGAGCCGTTACACAACTTTAACCCAAATTTTAAGCTTCAGATTTTGGCTAGGATAGTTAAGTCCAAAACATGTAAAAAAAAAAATAAAAAAAATAAAAAATTATCCACTTTCATTAAATAACATTTATGCTAGACCCCTAAAGAACCTCTATGCTAAGAATCAGCATCCTAACATAATTATTAAGCGTATGGTAAGCCATTACAAAACTTTAACCCTTCACTTTAACCTGAAGATTTTGGCCAGGAAAGTCCAAAATATGTCAAAAATCCCCCCCCCAAAAATAACATTATTTTCCATTTTCAATCCACAGCATTAATGCTAGACCCCTAAAGAACATCTATTTGTTTGTTTGTTTGATTTTGCTTAACGTCCTATTAACAGCTAAGGTCATTTAAGGACGGCCTCCCCTGTGTGCAAGATGCATGCGTGTAGTGTATGTGTGTGTATTTTGGGAGGCTGCGATATGTTCGTGTTTGTCTTCTTGTAATAGCGCGGAACTGATGCCGACTTTATAGTGCTACCTCACTGAAACATACTGCCGAAGACACCCAGCAGGACGCCCCACCCGGTCACATTATACTGACAACGGGCGAACCAGTCGTCCCACTCCTAATTTGCTGAGCGTTAAGCAGGAGTAGAAACTACCATTTTTAAAGACTTTGGTATGTCTCGGCCAGGGGACAGAACCCAAAGCCTTCCTCACAGGGGCGAACGCTCAACAAATGGCCAAAAGTGAGGCATTGTCAAGGGAGACATTAGGAAAAAGAAAGTTATTTAGAAAGGAGAGAAGAGATAAGGTCCCAAATTTAGTCGCCTCTTACGATCATGCAATTGGGGGCAGCAGGTACAATTCTTACGCCCTACCTGCAGGGCAGTAAAGAACATCTATCTATGCTAAGAATCAGCATCCTAACACCATTATTAAGCGATTATTAAGCGAATGGTAAGCCATTACAAAACTTTAACCCGAACCTTAACATGCAGATTTTGGCGTCGGACGGACGGACGCAGACAAAACCTATAGTCCCCCCGGTTTCACCGGCAGGGGCCTAATAAAGGGGAAACCGAGAACAGTAGGTATGCCAAGGTATTTGTTACAAAGCATAATCAGATTTGTTTTACATCTATTATATGACTTTAAAGAAACAAAATACTGTTAGTTTTCCATTTTATCTCAATAATTGATAAAAAGCAAAACAAAAAAATATTCTGATTGATATGTTTCGCATATGCCCTGCGTTGACGGTCAATGCACATATCAGAGAAATTAACTTAAATTCAAAAACTTAATGTTGAAGGAGATGCTGACAAGGTCAATGGACCATGAACGGTAGGCCGCATCCAGCATTTGATG